GTCGGGGGCCCGCCACGAAGTCCTTCTTTTCCGATATTCGAGGCGGACGCGCCGCAAATGCAAACAGGACTACCATCAGATGCCCGGATCAAACAAAGGGAAAAACAAACGGCTGATAAGAAAGCCGGCGTCATTTTTGCACGTTTTGCATTTCGCAAATCGACGGCACCCGCGGCGCGCGCGCCGGCGCCCGGCCCCCGGAGCCGGCGCCCTGCCCCCAGTCGCTGCGACCAGGAGCTGGCCAGCGATGTCAGGTCTTGGCCCGACAGCCGACGGGGGACAGGCAGTGGCGCCGCGCGCCGCTTCCCCCCCCCGCTTCCACGCAAGTCGCGAGTGGCGGGGGCGCGCCGCCCGACTGCCGCTGCTCTCCCCGGGGGTCGCGGGCAGCGCCGCTCGCAAGGATTCCGAGCCGCGCCTGCAACGAGAGACTCGCAAGCGCCCCCTCCTCGCCGCGAGACGCAGCGCCGCCCTCCCCGGCGAAGCCCAGCGAAGCGACGCGGCGGCCGGGGAGGCGACGGGCACGCACTGGGCCAACGGCGCATGCGCAAGCCAAGCGCATTCCCAGAGGAGGGAGGGAAAGGAAGGCGAGGCGGAGGAAGGAAGAGAAGGAAACGCATGCAACGCAATTGGACGCAGGCGTGCCACGACCTGCAGCAGGAACACCCGCTCGGCGCATCACGACTGCGACGAACAAGTCGGGCCGCGCGACAATGGCGCGCGCGCCCGCGCATCGCGACTGCGACGCGGGACTCGCAAGCGGCGGGGCGGCAGACGCGACATCTGGCGAGATGCCCTTTGTGGCGCTGCGCCGTGCGGCAGCGGGGGCAGACGGCGCGTCGCAACGCTGCGGGGTCCGCGAGCGGCTTCAGCTGCACCCGGATCTTTCCGGAAGGCGACGAAAACAGTATCCGGCATGTTTGTTAGTTTACGCGGCGCGTTAGCGCGTGCACTAATCACGAAGGCGCGGTCGGTGGCACGCGTAGTTCCCGCGCAAAGCGCACGGGAACCCGCCGACCTTAAAGCGCGAAGACTCAGCGCTGCAACGCGCGAGCTGCAACTGGGCTCAAGACCTCATGCCTCCGACAGGAGAAGTTGACCTCCGTGGCGACGCTGGATGCCGCCGCCTCAACGGCGACGAGATGACGAAGTGAAGGGGCATGGCATCCGAGGGGGCAACCACGTAATGCGCGGACTCGCGAGTAATGGCGCGGCAGTAGTACATCTGATCGATGCACGCTGCAAGCTGCATCGATCGCAGGTACGTTCCAGCGACTCAGCTGAGACACGGGCGGCAGCTCATGGTCTTGAAGATTGTTACCCAACGATTATAACGTTGCGCGAGCTCAAAGCCGGACCACTAACGCCAGCAGTGCTCAAGAGCACGTTAGAATTAGGTGGTCTCAGCACCGGGGCAATCCTTACCATGGGCGCTGCGTCGGTCTTCAAATCCATGTCAAGTAAGGATGTTCAGAAGCCGGCCGAATGCACCCAGCTGGGGCGCATCAGCTGGATAAGACAAATGATGGACCTAGGCGTCGTTTATAGCGCACAGTGGTGCGATGCACATGATGTGACAGCTGACGGCCGTACTCGAGGATGTACTGCTCGTGAGTTACTGCTGCAGTCCACGTAATGCAGTCTCTCCTTCGACTAGGAGGCACGTGCCCCATCGAGGCAACAAAGCGACAGCATTACCTTAGGGGCGCCCGAGTCAGGGCCACTGGACAGGGCATACGATTGGTTATTCCATAGCCAATCTAAGCTCGCACGCGGGCTACCTATACTCACGTTCCCGGACTCGCGCTATTCTGTTTGGGCACCTGACGGTTCAGTCGGACATCCCTCTTTGCTCTGCAACGCTTCGCGCGCTTCGACGTCTGGCAATTGGCCAGACGTCCCTTAATTATCTTGGGATGATCGCGTGGTCTTGCCCGTGGTCATCCATAATTTTCTGCGGTTGGTCGTGGGGGGGTGCCCGCGACCGGCCCGAATGCGTTGCGCTGCCGTCCTTGTCTTGATTGTGTACGGCTATGGATGTTGCAAAAACACACCCCTTTTATCCTTTCGTTTTTACTTGATCTATGTTTGTTTGGGGGATAGGATCTCCCCTTCGGCCCTTCCCGCCCCGACTCTGAACAGAGTTAATTGTGGTTGATTGTATAGTGAACGCTATATCCGCCCTTGCTTTGGCTCAAGGTAGCGCTGTCCCATTCGCATGTTCCACGACAGTGAGACACTACCGGATCATTGTACCAGACAAAGGCCACATCTATCAAGAATCCACTTCTCCACTCCACGGTTTGTCTCTTACTGTTCGTCTCACTTGCCATCGAGGGATGAGTTGCGGGATACCTCGATACGTCGCGGGCGTTATCCTAAGAGCATGGTTCTCAGCTTATGACCTCATGGTCAAGCCCCTGACCCTTGCTTTGCACTGTTTATAGATTTATATAATTACGAATAATTGTACACATATTTACACGTATCCCTATACACATTCATATACATATAAGTATACGTAAACATGCTACCCAATACTGGTTGCAGTTTGGGCTTCTTCCTTGCTTTCCAAGGAGACGCGCCTGCGGGCCGCTATGGGCGACGTGTGGCCGACGTCGCCACCTTGTTTCGTCGCCGCCCGTCGTCTGGGTCTGCCCGTGCGTCTGGCGGCTATGTGGTCGCCGTCGACATTTCGTCACCGCCCGTCGCCGCCCGTTGCTTGGACCTGCGGGCCGTTTTGGCCGCCATGTGTCCGCCGTCGCCACCTCGATGCCGCCCGGTCGCGGTTCGCTTTGCATGACTCCAAATTTCCTGGGTTTGCGTTGTTTGGCGTTGCTTGGCATGTCGGCGCGTTGCCGCGTATTGCATCGCATGGCATTGCAGTGCGTAGATGGCACCACCTAGATTGATGGCGTTGACCTAGATTGCATTACGTGTATGGACCCGCTTTTGTGTACGCGTGCAGGGTAGCCACGCGGCTACAGCAAAGTGGAATGGCCACCAAACCCTGCTAGTTTCTGAGATGTTTAAGGCGTCCGATATATATATATATATAAACATACATACATACATATACATATATATATGTGTATATATATATATATATATATATATATAAACGAGGATTCCGGCAACCTTGCGAGTCCGCCTAACGTAGAAATCTTGGACATTGTGGTATTGGGGGACCACTTACTTGATGATGTCTCAAGGGTCCCAGAAAATAGCCGCGTTTGGTTGCCAGTTCTCCTCGCATGATGCAGCGATCTGAGAAAGTAGCAGTAGAAAGTAGCAGTGTTGGTGGTCACTCCCCCGCGCATGCTGCGGGGATCGGGCAAAATAGCAGCGTTGGTGGCCCTCCTCCTCCCCACTCCTCCTCATCTTCCTCCTCCTCCTCTCATTCCTTGCCCCTCGCAGGCCGGGTGCGTTTTCACATGGTTTCTTTGAGGATGAAGTGTGGGAAAGCTAAGATGGAGGACAGAAGGGGCTCGAGCCTGAATGTCTGATTTCGGGAAGGGGAACAACCATCTGCACACATACATACATATACATAGATGTATGTATATACATACATACAGTTACATATTTAGATGTATAGATGTGTCACAAACATTGTTGTATGTATATGTGTATATGTATGTGTGTATGTGCGCGTGTGCGTTAGCCAGCATGGGTGTAAACAGTGTGTGTTCTAGCTATCTATAGTTGCAGGAGTTGTTGTGCAATAGATATGTTGCAGTCTATGTGGCGCAGCCGATGCGATGCAACCTCTGTGGCGCGGCTAATGCTGTACAACATGTGTGGTACAATCGATGGTGTGCTATATCTATATATATATACATACATACATACATACACCCATACAAACAAAAACCAAGCATACATACACGTATGGTGCAATATCTGTGGTGCCACATATGTGATGCAATCGATGTCGCCCCAAGCAATCCAAAGCAATGCACCGCAACGAAATGCAACACCAGGCGAAGCAATTCAAACCCATACGAAAAGTGTTAAACCGTGCAACGCAAGCAACACATCAAAATGCAACGCAAAGCAACTCGCGAAGCAGTAGACAATAACGCAAGGCATTGCAAAGCGCTGCAAAGCAGTGCGTCGCAGCGCAAAACGACGCAAAACAAGGCGAAGCAATGCACAGCAATGCATAGCTATGAAAGTCGACGCAGAGAAAACGGCAATCCAGATCAATGTAAAGCTCTGCAGGGCAAGGCACAGAAAGGAATGCAAATCAGCGCGGTGCAGTGCCAAGTGGCGCGAAGCAGTGCGGAGCGGGCGGCGAGGCGGCGGGCGGCGACGGCGGCCACGTGGCGGCCAGAGCGACCCGCAGGCCTACACGACGGGCGGGGACGAAGCGGCGACGTGGTGGCGCCAGCGGCGATGTAGCCGCCGAAACGACCCGCAGGCCCACTCCCTCATTCCACAAGTAAGATCCCCTAAGTACAAGCACCACTTGGGAAAGATGTCTACGCACACACACATATATATATATATATATGTACATATACACATACATCTGTATGTATGTTTAAACACAAGGTGTGCCTAAAACAACAGATACATACATACATACATACATACATACATGCATGCATATATATACATATATATATATGTGTGGCAACATGATGGAATCACAAAGTATATCGCTGGACGCATCATTCTGCTATGGTCAGGTGCCGTTCAGGACGCGTTGACAGGGAACCGCGTGCGGGCACTTTTGCTGCAGGTGGATCGGCATAATTTCTTCGAACGTACTTTCAGCATTCAGGGAACAAAAAGCAACACATACATGAATTTGGAGAGGTCTACGCGGATTTCTCGGATCGGCGTTGGAGCCCCCTGACGGCGCCTCCGTCGCCACCCTGGCGCGCTCCGCGCGCCAGGGAGAGGGGTCCAGCGCCGATTCAAGAAATCAGCGCGGACCTCCATGCTATGTTTGTGTTTTTCGAAGCACGCACGTCCTTACCCTGCGCCACCCGCAGCAGCCGCTGGAGCAGACAACGGTCGGGCAGCAGCTGGACAGCCTGCAGCTGGAGCTCGCCGCGCTGCGGCGGGAGCTGCACTCCGGCATGACGGCACGCCCCTCCCGCCATGCTCCGCGAATCGAGGGCCGAGGGAGTTTATGACGTGGGGGCGGGCAGGAGGACTCCTCGTCTTCCTCCTCCTTCTCCTCCTGCTCCTCCTGCTCTTCCTCCTCCTCCTCTTCTTCCTCCTCCTCCCCCTCCTCCTCCTCCTCCTCCTCCTCCTCCTCCTCCTCCTCCTCCTCCTCCTCCTCCTCCCCTTCGAGCAACGAGGGGATATGCTCCATTGATGTCTTCATGTCCCTGGAGGCGCTGCTGTTCCTTTGGGAGCGAGGCGGTGCTGAGGAGAGGGCGGTGATCCATCTGTGCTGTGCGTGGGTCGACATCAGTTGCATCCTGCTCTTTGGCGTGGCAAGGAGGCCGTTTCGCTTTGAGTGGGGACGTCTGATTTTGGTGATCAGTGACAGGGAGGTGGCTTCTCTGGTGCACACGCTTCTGAAGGCATACGGGATGTGCGAGATTCCCGTCACTGTGGGTATAGAGGAGGTGGACTGAGAGTGTGAGTGCAGTAGCAGAGCAGTAATCGCGTGAGCAGTTTTTAGGGCAGATTGCGATCCTGGAGGGAGGGAGCTGTCTGTGGCCATTCCATTCATGTTGAGGTGCTGCCACTCGTCGCCTCGTGAATATGGCCGTGCGTCGACGGCTGCCGAGAGGCACCATCGCCGGCGCCACCCAGTCGCGGGGTGCCGAGGCGTTCGTGAGGGGGGAACCCCTCATTCTTCTCCTCCGAGCATGTGACCTTGGTCGCAGCGGAGCTCCACCGCCACACCTTCTCCTCCCCCTCCTCCTCCTCCTCCTCCTCCTCCTCATCCTAATCCACCTCCTTGTCCTCCTCCTCCTCCTTCTCCCCCTCCTCCTCCTCCTCCTTCTCCTCCTCCTCCTCCTCCTCCTCCTCCTCCTCCTCCTCCTCATCATCATCATCATCCATCATCATCATCATCATCATCATCATCATCCCCCTCCTCCCCCTCATCCTCCCCCTTCTCGTCCTCCTCCTCCTCCTCCTCCTCCTTCTCCTCCTCCTCCTCCTCCTCCTCCTCCTCCTCCTCCTCCTCCTCCTCCTCCTCCTCCCCATTTGAAAGCGGTCCACCCTCCGTCGTCGAGCCTCTCGCGAATTCGCAGCTTCGTGGTCCTAAAATCGTGTGGCAGTCTCGGGCGAAGCGCCTGGCCTGCTGGACCGACACGCCTGGGGTGCGGCAGGGAGACGTTGTTGACACGGGGATGGGATTGAATAGGATTAGGGAGGAGGGAGGAGGAGGAGGAGGAGGAAGAGGAGGAGGGGAAGGAGGAGAAGGAGGAGAAAGAGGAGGAGGAGGAGGACGACGACGACGACGACGACGACGACGACGACGACGACGACGACGACGACGGCGGCGGCGGCGGTGGCGGCGGCGACGGCGGTGGCGGCGGCGGCGGCGGCGAGCGCTGCGCTGGGTGCCGCGGTGAGGCGGCCGCCGCCGCTGTCGTGGTGGCGGTCGTGGTGGTGGTGGTGGCGGTCGTGGCCGCAGCGACGACGGACGCCCCCCGTTGGGGGGCGTGAGGAAGCAAGTTTTGCGTGGGGCTCTGCAGGAGGAAGGGAAGGGCCGGGGCGGCAGGAGGCAGGAGAGGACAGAAGAGGCGACGGAAGGAAGGACCGCCGCGGTGAGGCGGCCGCCGCCGCTGTCGTGGTGGCGGTCGTGGTGATGGTGGTGGCGGTCGTTGCCGTAGCGGTTGTCGCCGTGGTCGTGGGCGTCGACGACAGCGGCGGCCCTCCAGGCGTGCCGCGAGGACGCCCGCTTGGCCGCGGCGCGGGCCTCAGCGGCGCCGCCATGCGCGCGCGCGCTTCCGCGGCGAGCACGGCGGCGACAGGAGTGCCCCCGGGTGGCGCGCCGCTGGGACGCTCTCGGCCACGCTCGCGGGCAGGCCCCGCGTCAGAGATCGGCTAGACACGTGTTTCGCCTAGCGTTTCCCCCCCCCCCCCCCCGACTCGACTCCCCTGTCGCACTCCAGTCGTAGGGGGCCACGTGCGAACCCTGCCCCTACCCCCTGCCCCTACCCCCCACGATTTCTGAGGGGGAGGGTGGGGTAGGGTTCGCATGTGGCCCCCAAATCCGGCAAAAAAACGACACCACCCCACCTACGGCCCTCCATGTTTCGCTACGGCCCATCGGGGGCCGTGGCGTACACCATGCAAAGACAACCCACGCCAGACGTCCCGGTGTACGCTACGGCCCGTGGGGCCGTAGGTGGGGTGGTGTCGTTTGTCTTCCGGTCCATCCATTCCGTGGCACCGCGTCATGGGTTCAGCGCCGCCGTGCGGGAAACAAGCTTGACGGCTGAGCTCTCGTCCTCCTCGGCCTCTGAGGGCTCTCGCTGGGCCCATGGGGCTGTCGGAGGGCGATCTGGAGCGAGAGGTCGTCCTGGGAGAGGTGCCAGAAGGCACATGGCGCGGTTTCCGCACAGGCGCGGCCCAGCAGGAGCCGCCAAGATTGCCCTTGGGGGATCTCCGATCCCAGAGCACACTCAACCCTGATAGTAAGGATGATCGACCTCCCAAAGGTACCCTTGCATCCTTGCCTCTTCGGCCATCTTCGGTCCATCTTCAACCACTTTCGATTGCCAGCCCCGCTCGAAGAACCTCGGCATGGGCGTTCAATGGCCGTGCATCCTTACCGCGCATCCTTACTATATGGGTTGGTCGCAAGTCAGACCAACACAGCTGGCCCAACATCGGATTCGACGATGGGGGCGCATAGCACAGGGGGGAACAATACAGGTATGCAGGGGCGCCGATGATCCATGTCTGCGGCGAGGCTCCCGGGCGAATGCGTGTAATGCTCCCCCCTTGGGCTATTCGCCCTTGTTGTCGCCGCCGACAACAGGCAACCACATGGGCCCCCAGTGGGGGGCCAGAAGCTCCGGGGACCCCGTGCTGATGAAACAAGAGCACGGCATCGGATGCCTGTGGCCGCCGCGCGTCCCCGCTCTGCGGCGACGGCCGTCACCGCAAAGCGGCGCCCGGCGCCAAGTGCAGCGAGGCGGTCGACGACAAAAGAGATGACGATCACCCCCTCCTCACCGTCCTCGTATCTCCGCGTCCTCCTCGACCTCCTCCTCCTCCTCCACCACCTCCTTCTCCTTTTCCTTTTCCTCCTCCTCCTCCTCCTCCTCCAATTCTTCCAGGTGGCACGAGCGATTCCATTCGTATTCCCGCCTTTCGTGTGTCCCACACAAGCCGCTTAACCGAACCTCCGCAGCGGGCAGCTTCGGCAGAAGTGCCGCTGTGGCTAACTGATGACGTTGTTCAGACTTCTGCACCGGACCCTTTGAGCATCAGTCCCAGTGATCGCCAGGAGGAGATTGTGATGACGACCGCACGGACCTTCCACGCATGTTTTCTTATTGCTACTCAAGCAAAACAGTCAAACAGTCCTTGGAATGCTCGCTCGCAAGAAGAAGCTGGTTGACACAGGTTGGAGTCCAGCAGCTTGTACGAATGAGGCTGCATGTGCTAGCATTACTCGTAGTTGTGTTTCGATGGGGGTGACACATTGCTAGACAGTGGCAGGCTGGAGTTGATTTTGCAAGGCGGGCTTTGGGCTTCAGAGTGAAGCGATCAGGTCTCGACATAGTGCTGCTGGTCTTTATGCTCCACCTCGCCTCGCCCCGTGACAGGACAGGGCGCCCGAATTACTTCGCGACCGTGAATCGCCTGACGACATGGTTGAGGGGGCTGCTGGTTCATATCTCGCGCTCAGCCCGCTTCGTGCCACTCATCAGTATGGACTTGAACGACGGCATTCGGATGGTTTGTCCTGGTGGTTGCTGGGTTGCTTGTGATGCGGCTGTTCTACCTTCGCACGTGGCTACCACAGAAAATATGTTGGGAGGAACTGGTCAACAAGTGCGCGAGCTCATGGAAGAGCTTGTTTTCAGTGCCCCGGGAGTTCGAGATCGGATTGAGGACACGTGGTTTGGCCAGGACGGTCTTTCGAGCAGGGTGGAGCACATCTTCGGTCGCATTACTGTGCTGGGACTTGGTTGGCGCAGCTGGGCAGCTCATGCGCGTGATGCGGCAGCACCAGCGCGCCGTCTCGTCATCCTCGCGACCACAAACCGTTGCATTGCAAGTTGAAATCGTCTTCTCTCGAACTGGACAATCTAGATCGGTCGAGGTACAGCTGGAATCTCAACAGCATGATGAATGGGTCCCTGCGCGAGCTTTTTGTTCCTCCCATCACACGTTGTTGCCAAGTTGCATGAGCAAGGGGATTTTCGCTCGGCCGCGGCGGACGCAGGCCGCTCAGATGCTTGCTTCACTGCGGCGAGTAAAATGTTCCGCGAGCAGACGCGGGAAGTCTCCGGCTGATCTCCACCGAATGCCTCCGAGCGCCATCGCGGGCAAGCGGCATCATCTTCAACGGGGGCGGCTGGAGAACCGAAGGCGCCTGGCTTCCGCGCCTCATGCAATGGAGGGGGGCGAAGTGGTGAACCGTATGATGCAGATCAGCAGGCGGCGTCAGCAGCAACGAAACGCGCATGTCCAGGGGCGTAGAGATAATATTTCGGAGGAGTTGGAGGAGGCCCAGCGCAGACGAACCGCGACGGGGGGCACGTCGTTTGACGCGCGTCCCCGTCGGCCGCGGTCGCGGGCCCCGCCGTCGCAGCGACCGCCGCCTCGGAGGGGCGGCCATCGCTGCCCGAGAGTGGCCTCGGGGCGCGGGAGAAGCAGGGCGCCGCGAGGCGGCGCGGCGGCGAACGAGATCACGGAGGAGGTGGCGGAACTGGGGGAGGGGCGCCAGGGCACGCACGGCGTCGAGGCTGACGCAGACTTGCCGGGCATCAGCAAGCATTGAAGACGCGCGCAAGCGGGGATCTCGCCCGCCCCGGCGCGCTCCCGCCGGAGCTCGGGGCGCCGTCGCGGGCCCGAGTGGAGGCCTCGCGAATTTGCTTTGGAGTCGGTGATTCTATCGAGTACTCGCCTGGGCCCCCGGGCCCTTGCTGGGGGCCCCCGCTCGCGCTTTTTTTCGGGCGCGCGAGGCGGGTCGAGAGGTTCCCGCAGCCGTGGGCTCGCAGTTTTGGTCGCGCCTCGCCGGCGAGCTCCGCCCGCGGGCCCGCCGGGGGAACGCGCCGTGCGCCTGCTGTCGGGGGCGACGCTCCACGGCGACCCTGTCGGTCGGGGCCCCGACGACTGCGGGCTCTGGAGGGGCGGGGGATCATGCTCGTGATCGATGCTCGTGATCGATTCGACCCCCCGTCGTCTCTGTCTCAGCGGTCGCAGCATTGCCCGGCCCAGCGAGGGCCCCGGCGACGCGTTCCCTTCGACGTCTCGGGTCTTCCTGGAGGAGGCCGCCATGGATCCACTGGACCTCCCTGATCGCCACTTCGGGAGGTGCCGGTATGAGTCGGCTCCTATGTATTCCTCCCAGCCCGAGGTCGCGAGCTCTTCGTTCGCCTTAGCCGCGGAGAAGCCCACTCGTACGGCGGTGGATTTTTCGTACACTCAGTAAGCAGATCATCTGACCGGGCCGCGCGCGGACGGCGGCCCCGCTCCCGAGCCAGGCGACGCCGGCGAGGCAGAGCTTCTGCGCCGCCAGCGAATGCTCCAATCGGGCTTTAGATGAGGCGCCGGGACAAATCTTTACACCAGGTTCTACTAAACCCAGTTCTGCCAACGCTCGATGGGCGTCGGCTCGCGACCCCAACGAGCAGGCGCCCAGCGCCCGGCGTCGAGACGGCGGCGGGGGGGGGGGCGCGGCAGCCGCGAAGGCGCTGGCCCAGCGCGGAGGCGAGAAGCAGAGCATCGACGAGCCTGTGGCCATCATGGCCAAGCTAGCACTCGGCCACGAGGCGGAGCTGAGGGCGCTCCTCGGCGCAGCGCACGGCGCGCGGCGCGCCCCGCTGGGCAGACGCGCGGCGCGGTTCCCGATGGAGGAGGGCCAGAATGTCAGCGCGGATGCCGAGCAGCCGCGGGAGCTCCAGATGGCAGCCGAGAGGGATAGCAAAGAGCACGTCGAGCCCGAGATGCACGCCCCGGATCTCCGACGGCTCGCGGCCACGAGCAGGGGCGCGGCGCACGAGAAGGGGGAGGGCGCGTCGCCCCGGGAGCAGGCCGTCGCAGCCAAGCGCAGGGAGTCAGTCGCGTGCCAGGCGGAGGGCCCGATCGCACTGAGCGAGGTAGTGAGGTCTCGTCGGGCCAAGCGCCTCAAAACGAAGAGCTCGGACGACAACGGTATGGTCAAATTTCCGTTCTTACTGGGGTCGAGCACCATCGGGAACTAGCTCGCGTCGGCGATTCGGCTCTGTCTCAAGGCCAACAGAAGGGAAGTGGGCCGCCGGGGCCGCCCCAATCGGGGCGTTAGTGAAGGAAGCTCTGCGTCATCTGGAGCGGCGCAAGCAGGTAGTTCCTGTGGACCCCCAGGATGCTTCGATTGGCGCAGAAGCGAGAGGGTTCAGCTGCTTTTATAAGCCGACTCCTCCTCCTCCTCCTCCTCCTCCTCCTCCTCCTCCTCCTCCTCCTCCTCCTCCTCCTCCCCCTCCTCCCCCTCCCCCTCCTCCCCTCCTCCCCCCCCCCCGCCGCCCAGGAAACTGTCGGCGGGGTAGAGGGGTTCGCATCGAGCGCGGCGCTTCTTCAGGCAGATGATTCCGGAGTGAGTGCCAACGGTGGCAGACGCATGCTGCGCGCCGTCGGGTCCGCCACCAGGCCGGTCCCCTCACCGGATGCGGTCGCGGGGTAGCGCGGTGGCTTCTCGCTCCAGTCCGCCAGCTGTGCGAACCCAGGCGCCCCTTTGTTGTTGTCGTGTCTGTATGTCGGCGGAGGTCTGCAGTGCTGCGGTGGGAGGATCGGCGCCCTAGGGAATTATCCTATGTCTTATCCTCCTCTTCCCCGCTCCGCTCTCCTACCTCCCTTCGCCTGTTTGCGTATCCTCTTCCTTTTCCTCCTAAGCTTTTCTCCTTGAGTGTCATCCCTGTCGCGCCACCAGACGCGTCGGCAGGGCGGGCTGGGCGCGTCGTTTGGTTCTCGCCTTAGTGCCGCGCGCATTCGGGGTAAAAGCTTGCATGTGGCGTTCGCGTGAGACTTTTCCATTTTAGAAGATCGGAAGTTCCAACACACGCAACAGCTAAACGGATGGAGGGCGACGCATTTGTTTTGAACATTGGTTTTCGTTTGGGTTCTTCGCCGCTCGTGGCCGTAAGAGAACTTGCACAAGAGTCACGCATATGGTGGCGTTCCTTTTTGTTACAGTGATATCGTTGAACACGTGTTTGAACTTGACGATCATACAACTGCGCGTGGCTTGTTACTCGTTCGAAGGATGCATGGTATGTCGTTCCTTGCTCAAAACGGTGACCCCGCCTGAATGGCAAGCCCATCGGGTGTTGGTCGTTCAATGAGGCGCCACTTGATGTGGTGTTTTGGATATTGAACCAGGTCGAGGGTTGCCAGTACATGCTTCAAAACACGGTTCATCACTGCTAGCAAAGAGTCGGCTACGTTATTCACAAATTCTGCGTCCCATGGGACGTCGCAAGCATCATATGCAAAATCACGCACGATCGAAATTGATTCCATTTCAAGCAACATGGACCAAATCGACATGTTGATTCCTTCGCTAATTCAAGCAAACGCCGACCAGGAGCATTCTAATAGAAAAGGCGGGGGGGAGCGAGAGTGATGACAGCGACATTGCAGGTACCATTTCTTGCGAGGCCCACTCTGGGCTCCTGGGTGAGAATAGCGGTGACAGCATCAGCGAACAATCGATGGAGTCAGAAGTTGATTCGATATGGTCTTCCCGAGTATGGTAAGCGTTATCAAAATCGATGGTGTGGCAACCATAAATGAGACGATTCGCATCCAGATGATATCTCCGTTCTTCGGGGCGGAAAACCGTTCTTGCTTGCGGGAGGAGCGGTGAGCGCCTGCTGAACAAGTATTACAAAATTCTTTCGGCACGCCCTAACTGGCCGACCACACGTTCAGCAAGATACGATTTCGAAAACATATTCCTGACAGTACGCATTCGGCCCAGATGCGGCAGAGAGCGGCCAATATGCTGCATAGCGAAACGAAAAATCATTTAAGGAAGTGAAGTACACATTTAAGAATCTTGTGTGCGGCATTTGCGTTGCGACCAGGAGGTACAGGATGACTTCGAGGAGCATTCTCACGTGATTTTATGGATGAGGAGGATGAGGAGGATGCCGACGACGAAGACGACGAAGATTACGACCAGGAGGACGAAGACGAGGAGCATGGACGAGGTAGGGGGAGGAGGGAGAAGAGAGGAAGGAGGGGAAATTGGAGGAGAGGGAGGATGGGAGGAGGGGTAGGATGAAGAGGAGTAGCATGGATCGTGGCGAGCAGAGGATGGGGCAGAGCTGTCCACGATTCGACCGGTTGTTCGATCGAACCGATGACGCGTGTCGATCGATGTTTGTGCGCGGCGTTGATTGATTGGACTACGCACTCCCGAGGGCGATTCCCCTCTGACGGAAGGATTCTGCTCGACCAGTTCGATGGTGCAGGCGATCCGGCCGGTGGAATCTTCGACTTCGTTGCAGCCATCTTGAGCAGCCATTTGAGACTTTTTCTTTTTCTGGTATTCCGCTTCTGGAAACACTATACACCGCGGATGCTCCACCGTACCCATCCTCTGCTAGTTGCTAGCTCCTGTCTGAGCAGCCATGGGAGGCTTTTTCTGGTATTCCGCTTCTTGGAAGCACTATACGCCGCGGATGCTCCACCGCACCTAGCCTCTGCTAGCTGCTAGTTCCTGTCTGGGCAGCCATGGGAGGTTTTTCCTGGTATTCCGCTTCTTGGAATCAATAAACGGCAGTTTCGCGCCGAGTCGACTGGCGACGACTCCAGCGCGGGCGTTCATGGTTGAACGCCGCTTGTGGCCCAGAATCGGCCCATCCTTGAACGATCCGGCCTTTTTGAAAAGGCCGACCGTTCAAGTTTGAACGATCCCCGCGGTGTCAGGAACCAACGCCAGGGTCGACACGACGCGAACCTGCCGTAAGCCGCTGATGCTTCAGCGGCTAAGCAGCTGACCCTTCGTCTCCACCAGGGACGCTGCCGATACCGACACGGCTCCACCGCACCCAGCTTTTGCCAGCTCCTGTCGGTGTTCCTCGGCGGCGAGCCCACAAGGAGGAGGAGGAGGAGGAGGAGGAGGAGGAGAGGGAAGAGGAGAGGGAGGAGAGGGAGGAGGGGGGGGAGGAGGAGGAGGAGGAGGAGGAGGAGGAGGAGGAGGAGGAGGAGGAGCAGGAGGAGGAGGAAGAGGAGGAGAACTCCAAGGGGCACGCAGCTGTGGCCCCGAAAGCGCCGGGGCGGCTCAAAGAGGCGACAGGACTTGCATCTGGCCTCCAACCCGCAAGCTCAAAGGTCGATCCTCGATCGATCCTCGCCCTCGAGACGACGGCCACGACGGCGGCGGCGCCCCCGGAGGTCTCCCGTGGCCTCCGCAGGCCCCCGCAGAGCCCTCGACCGCGGCCGCCGGCGAGGCGCCGCTGGCTGGGCCGCCAGATGAGCCTCTGCAGGCCCTTGGAGGTGGCGACAGCGACGGCTCGGCCACGCGCAGAGGGGGGCGAGGGGGGAGCGGGGGCGAGGGGGAGCGGGCGGAACAAAAAGTGACATAAACACAAAAACTCTGAGGTGCGCGCGGATTTCTCGGATCTGGGGCCCCCCGGCGGCGCCTCCGGCGCCGCCCCTGGCGCGCCCCGCGCGCCAGGGAGGGGGGTCCAGCGCCGATCTGAGAAATCCGCGCGGACCTCAGAGTTTTTGTGTTTATGCCACTTGTTGTTCCCCTAGCAGAGGGGGGCGAGGGGGAGAGGGGGGAAAGGCTTCTTAGAAGCACCCCTGCTTCTCAGAGGGCGCGGGCCTCGTCTGCAGATGCAGGGCCGGCGCCTCCCAGGGAGCGGCCTCCTTCCAGGACGCCGTCCCCCCTCCCCTCTGCCCCCTGGTGCGCGCCGCCGAAGCCAAGGAGCGCGGCGCGTCCGAGCTGCGGGCGCTCGCGGCCGAGCAGCACAGGGACGGCCGCCTCCCCTCGCCGCCGCCGCCGCCGTTGCCGCTGCCGCCGCCGCTGCCGTTGCCGCGGCCGCCGCCGTTGTCGCCTTCGCCGCCGTTGCCGCCGCCGTTGCCGCCGCCATTGCCGCCGCCGTTGCCACTGCCGCCGCCGCCGCCGTTGCCGTTGCCGCCGCCGCCGTCGTCGTCGTCGTCGTCGTCGCCGCCGCCGCCGCGTCTGGTGGTGTCTGGTGGCCTCCCAGGACGGCGTGCCGCGGCGGGAGGGCGCCTGCCCGAGACTGGCTGAGCTCACGCTTTCCCCTCTTTCAGTGTGCTGCGTGGCAGATGAGATGCAGAGCGTGCTCCTTGAGCGGGCGATGTGGGGAGAGGAACACAGACGGTCGGGAACTGTTGGATAGCGCGTCGCCCCGTCGGTTCTGGCACACCACGCTGCGGCGCGACACGCTATCCACTTCCCGACTCCCCAGCGTCAACCTCCCGAGTTTGTCCGAGCCTCCCGCCCCTCGTAGCGGAGCGACACGCTATCCACTCGGAGGGCATCGCGTGTCGCCGGGGCCGCCGCCGCGACACGCTCAGCGAAAGCTCCCGATCGTACGCAGCAACGTGCGCCTTGCAACGCGCACGCGCGCCGCGCAGAGGTCGAGGCAGATGGGGAACAGTGGAACGTGTGGGGAAAGCGGCCATGACAGGACAGCAGTATTTCGAAGAAGCCGCCGCCGCCGTGGCGCTCTGCCGCCTCGGGGCTCCATAGGGGTGCGGTTGTCGCCGTGGCTGGATTCGCCCTGGGATCCACTCTGGTCAGGGCGCGCTCCTGGGCCGGCGGCGACGACGGGGGCGGATGGCCCGGGGGAAGAGCAAGACGTGTATCCAGGAGCGCCGATGCCTTCGGCGAGGCTTCCGATCGAACACGTGTGATGCCCGCCCCTGGGCTGTTCGCCCCTGTCCAGACATCCGGCTGCTCCAATTGGTTTGACGCGTGGGCCCCAGAGGTCCGGACCGCTTCCCCAGGACCAGTTTTTCGTCCTGATTTGTTGTTTTGCCCCAGAGGCCGAAAACTGCCGAAATGCCGCCGCTCCAATCTTTTTGGAGCGTCGGATCTCTAGGATGATCGCCCCCGACAGGAGGCAGCCGTGGGCCGACTGTGCGGCAGGTGTAGCTAAGGCCATCCTTTGCGGCCAGCAGCACGGAGAGGCGGCCGGGTGCTCCTCCTGCTGAGCCTCTCGGGGCCCCGTGTCGGGCATCGGGACTGTCAGACCCGATGTGGGAGGTAAACGTTGGCTCCCATGGAAGGAGTCAAGAGCTCTGGAGGCTCATGTCGCGAGGAAATCGTGTCGGAGTTCCGGGTCGCCCTCCCAGCTCTTGTTGTTGCTGCTCCGCCTCCTTCTCTTTGCCTTCGAGTGCGCTCCTCGTTGGCACGGCCCGATGTGCGGCTCGGAAGATATGGTAGCCAGCAGTGGCCCACAGGGACTGCTTGAACGGATTATCAGGAGTGGTGCATGGCCTCCGTGCGTCGCATAAAAAACATGCTTGGCTTTTTGGTCCCAACTTTCGGGTTCGGTCCAGCTCGATTAACTGCAGCAGACTGGGGGGGATCGAGGGCTCTGGTCGTGACCTTCTGTCACGGAGTCGTGCCTTGTTCTTCGACGTCAGGTGTCGTGCCCTTCTTTTTCTGATCAATCTTATCATTAGTATTATCAGTCTTATTAACCTTCGTATTAACATTATTACTATTTGCTATTATTACTCGTACTATTAAGTATGTGTATTATCATTACCAGTAGTATTCTCCTTATTAGTATAGTTAGTATTATTATGGATATTATTATTACTACTATTACTCAAGAGGCTTGCGCCATTCGGCCGACGCCCAGAAGAGGGATGAAGCCAACGGGTGTGGCCTTTTCGGGGGCCTCTTGGGGATTCCCTGGTGGCCTCTCCTGGGCCTCCTGGGGGGCCTCCTCGGGCATCTTGGGAGTTTCTCGGGCGCGCGCTGGCGGTCTCGGGGATCTTCTTGGAGGCGGAGGGCTCGTGATGTCAGCTCGAGTTGCCTCTCTTTGGGCCCCATCTCGGGGCCTCTTGGGACCATCTTGGGCGCCTCTCTGGCCCGTCTTGGGGCCCTCATTCGGCCGTCGGTCCCTCTCGGAGTCCAGTCTCGGAGGCTTCTTGGGCCGCCTTGGAGCGATCATGGGTGCCTCTTGAGCCATCTTGGACGCTGGTGAGACCAAAAATGCGAACACGTTTTAGGTTAAGACATTGTCCTATTGGATGTGGACGACTATTGCTTCCTAGGGCCCTCTCACGGGGTCGTCCCGGAGCCCTCTTGGGGCGTTTTTGAGGCCTCGTCGGCAGTCTTGAGGCTATCTAGGTCGTCTTCGAGGACTCCTGTGCGTGTTAGAACCCCGCTTGAGCAGGCGAGGATCGATGCGTAGGGATCTCGGACGCCACAGGGTATAGAAATGGAGGCCCCGTGGCCTTCTTCTCATCCTTAGTTTGATTATGTTGCGTCGTATTATGATTCGTTCTTTTCACGGCACTTGAGTATTAGTATTATTCGTCTTCTTCTCATTGTTTCGAGTCTCACCACTATTAGTAGCATCGCCATTGTCCTTAAATTAAGTATTCCTGGTCCTCCTCCTCCTCCTCCGCCTCATCCTCCTCCCCACAACTACTCCTACTGTTGCAGATCGTCATGTTCAGTGTCTTTCTCCTCCCCATCCTTCGCACTGCTGGCCAATCTAGTTCTCAAGCCTGCTGTGCGCACCAGTTCGGTGTCTCCCGCACGGTGCAGTTCGTGCAGACCGTGCGCCAAGAGGCTGGTGCGCCCGCGAGATTGGGGACGGTCGCCGTCGGTTGGCATGGCCGAGCTCCCCCTCCGTGAAGCAGCGCTCCAAGCAGTTCTCCCCTCCCCTTGCGCGGTGTTTGCTAGGGGCCCCTTGTGAGATGCAGCCGTCCAGTTCTCGCGCGGAGGGCCGCCAGAAGCCGTGCCGATGACCAGCGGATGCCGCCGATGACGACCACAACGACGACGATGAGGATGACGATGGGGATGACGACGACGGTGATGATGATGATGATGATGATGATGATGATGATGATGATGATGATGATGATGGTGGTGGTGGTGGTGGTGGTGATAATGATGATGGCGATTATGATGGTGTTAATGATGACGATGATAATGCTGATGCTGCTGATGATGGTGATGATGATGATGATGACGATGATGATGATGATTATGATGGTGATGGTGATGGTGATGATGATGCTGCTGATGATGATGATGATGATGATGATGATGTTCATGGTGATGCTGATGCTGATGCTGATGATGCTGCTGATGATGCTGATGGTCTTTTCTTTCGAAGTTGAATGCCTTTAGAGGGGGTGGGGAGGCCGAATGCTTGCATTCCGAAGCCCTCGGCCTTCGAGCTGACGGGCCGCGGTGCATGGCTTGGCTGTGCCTCCCGGAGGGCTTGCTGAAGGTCCTGGATCGGTGGGGGGTGCCGGCACTGCAGGCCTGGGTCACTCGCTGTCCCGCGAAAGAGAACCCACCCTGCCCTGCGTGCCCGGCCTGCCCTGCCCTGCCCTGGCGCGACCGTGGGCGCGACCGCGGGCGCAGTCACCCTGGCGTGCGTCGCCGCGGGCCTGGTGGGCGCCTCCTTCGGCGCGCTGGTTGCCATCGCGGTGCTGCGCCTCTGGGGGCCGCCCAGGCGACAGCCGCCGCGGTGTCGCGCGCGGGGGTGCCGAGCGGCCCTCCTCCTCGCCTGGCGCTGGCACCGGCGATGGCGGAGGCCTGGGCGTGGGTTCTTGCACAACGTGGGAGGCGCGCCGCTCCTCCACCAGAGGAGGGTCGTGGGTCAATTGGCTTTCACGGATGACGTGATCATCGTGACCCCCGACGACGTGGTGCATGCCGACCGCCTGCTGGCTGCGGGGCCTGACATCGCGGCGGTGCGCTTTGCCGCTACTCGCTGGCCGCCGCCGCCAGGGATCGCCCCGGACGCCACGTGCAGGTTCGTGCGGGAGCCGTGGGCTGCCCGCGAGGCCGCCTGGCTGGCAGCTGCGAGGGCCGAGGCGGACGCCGAGTTCGGCCGCCGCCACCCTGGAGTGCCCGTTCCGGCTGGAGGCGCGCTCATCCCCATGAGTGGCGGGCTGCTGCCAAGGGCGGGGCCTCCTGCGGCCGCGGGCGGGGCGCTGGTTGGCGCCGCCGCGGCCCCTGGGGCCGCTGCTACCGCGCCTGCCGCCGCGGGTCCCGCGCCCGCCGCCGCGGGCGCCGCCGCTGGGCCTCCAGCGCCCGCGGCGCTGGCTCCGCTGGCCATGGCCGCGGGATCTCCGCCTGCTGTGGGAGCGCCGCCTGGGCCGGGTTGGAAGGACGACGGCGGCCCCCCGCTGGGGGCCAACGGTGGGGCGCCCGCTGGCTGGGCCTGGGTGCTCGCGGAGGGCGTCGACCCCTCCCCTTCGGCTCGGTGGTGCAGGTCGGACCGATCACGGGGGTCGTGCTCGCAGCGCGGGCTGGACGGCGCGGCATCGTCACACTCGGAGGGGGGATCTCAACGGTGGCCTTCATCCTAGAAGACTGGCGTCGGGCTGATTTCTTCGCGAAGTGGCGGGGGGCGGACTCTCGCACCCTGGCGCGCACTCCTGGCAGTGGCGGTCCGCGGAGCTGGCTTTTCGTGACTGAGGTCGCGAAGGAGGTGCCCGACCCGCAGTTCAGTCTCGTGCCGCGCTCGGCTGATTGGTGCGTCGTCTGGTTGCTGCGCGAGGGCGGGCCGATCCAGTGCCGCGAGAGCTGGCAGGCGCGCGAGCGGCTCAGCACATCGGACTACGGCGTCGCCGAGCTCCACAGTCTCAGCACGGTGCTGGAAGACCTCGCGACGGTCGACGAGATCCACGTGGCGAACCTTGTCGGGGTGGAGCGCCTGCCCAGGAATATGCAGCTCATCGAGCACTTTTGGATGAGAAGCAGAGGGGGCAGGGCCCCACCCAGCAGAAGCTGCCGCAGGAGGAGGTCAACGCGTTCATGGGCGGCACGGGTCCTTCCAGCCGCCCAAGCAGCATTGCGCGCCCCGCGCTGCTGGACGCGGTCGGCAAGGGGCCCGAGCGCGTCAGTCAGTTCAAGAAGAACGCCCGCAAGCTGCGGGGGGAGTCGAAGGCCACCTCCGGGGCCCAGGCCGGCGGCGCGAAGTCATGATGTCATCGCGCTTTGGGCGGCTTCCTGGCCCAGTCCCCCTTGGCGCCGCGGGAGCTGGGCCTTCTTCGGCGGAGACCTGCATCGCCGAGGATGTGCGCGGCAGGTGCGGTGGGATGGGCGCGGAGCGGCAGCGGGACATCTCGCCGCCGCCCCTGCCCGCCGCCGCCGCCGACCCAAGAGGGTGCTCGCGCAGCGCGCGGAGGCGCGCGTGACGGGCGGCGTCCGCGCCGCGGCTCGTCGGGCAGGCGGCGGAGTCGCGCGGCGGCCTCAGAGCCGCCGGGGGCGGCGGCAGCGGCGGCTCGGGGCCGCGGGCTGACGCGGCGCTGCCTGTCGCGGACTGCGGAGTCCGTCTCGCAGCTTCCCCGCCGGGCGACTTCCAGCCTCTGGCAGCCAGCCCTGCAGGAGCCCCAGGCTGCTCTGTCCTGCGACGGCTCGCTGTCGACCAGGGCGAAGGTGATGGGCGTTTCCCGCTTTTCGCCGCCGCGGGCAGGTAACCGCCCTGCGGCGCCGGAGCGGCCGCTGGGCCCCGAGGTTTGCGATTCCGTCTATCGCGATATTGCGAGCAAGGTCTTGCCCCAGACCGACGCGTTGCAGCTGGAGCAGGACGTTGGCTTCAAGAGGCCCTGCGCGGACCCAATTGTTCGCGGCCGTCGCCGTTGCGCAGCCTTGGCGGCACGTCTGCTCGACGCCGGAGTCATCGACCTCGCCAGCGAACTCAGCGAGGTCATCGACGAGGTTGGCCTTGTCAGCGCGCCCAAGAAGAGTGGGCGGCAGCGGCTCGTCGTCGACGCCCGCCCCGCCAACTTCTGGTTCGGCGCGCCCGCCGACGCCCACCTGGCCACTGGCGCGGCGCCGGCGGCGGTCGAGCTCCCCGACGGCGCCAACCTGTGGACAGCCTCGGCCGACATCGCGGACGCGTTCTGCAACGCGGAGATGCCACTCTTCTCGCCCCCGCCGATGCACGCCTGGAGGCTGGGGCGCGGGGCCGACCAGGGGCGGCAGCCGCCTCGGCTGCTGTGGCCGCGCCTGGCGGTCCCGCCCGCGGGTTGGACCCGCGCGCTGGCTGTCTGTCGGCGGGCGCCGGAGTCGGCGGCCGATCGGGCGGGGCCGCTGCTGGCGCCCGTCGAGGCTCGTGGACAGCCGGACCTGCCCAGGCCTGGCGCTGGGCGTGCATCTTGAGCGCGTCGACAATTTCGCCTCGCTCTCGCTGGACCGCAGCGCCACCGAGCGGACGAAGGACGACATGGTCGCCGAGCTACGCGCGAGCGGCCTCCCCGCGAACGAAGAGGGCCCCGCGCTCCACGCGCGGCTGCTGGACTGGGTGATCGATGGCGAGCGGGGCGCCGTCTCTCAGGCTCCTTGGAGAGCCTGGCGGCTGACCCTCGCCACGCGGGCGCTCCCTCGGCGCGCCGAAGGTCTCGGCCCAGCAGGTGAGAGAGGCGGTCGGCCACTACACCTTGCCCCATGGTGAGGCGCCCGCTCCTGGCGATCTTCTCCGCGGCGCACCGCCCCATCGCGAAGGCGGGGGAGGCCCCGCGGGGGCGGTGGCCCAGCGCGCGACGAGAGCTGCGGCGGGCCGCGGGCGTCGCGCCGCTGGCCCACGCGGACATCCGCGCGGAGTGGCCGGGCCGAGTTTTGCGCGCGGACGCTTCCGAGTGGGGCCGAGGGGTGCGCGAGCAAGACTTTGACAAAAACGTGGTTCGGAAGCTCGGGGGGGCACGCGAGCGCTCCGCTCCGCGCGCCAGGCGAGAGCGGTTCCTGGCCCGGCAGGCTGAGGTCAGATGGCGAGATCAGGGGCCTGGCGGCAGTGACGCACCCCGTGGACAAAGCCCGGGTCGATCGAGCAGACAGGCTCGTGAGAATTTGTGTGAAGGTCTCTGGTCTAGCTGTAGGCGCATGCAAATCCCTTTCACGATTCAGAACCCCGCAATGTCTAGGCTGTGGTTCATCCCTTCTCTCCAGCGTCTTCGTAGGCAGGCGCGCGTCGTTTGGGCTGTCACTCATTGATGTCAAGAGGGGGCCCCCTGGAATAAGTCCACCTGTCTCCTGGGTTTTCTCGCGGACGTTGAAGCGTTTGCTCGCGAGCGCGTTGGCTCTCGCATTTGTTGTAACAGGACTGGCAAGCCTCATCATATATCTGATTTTGAAAGGTAGGGCTCTGGGAAGGCCTCTGTGGACTCTTGTTGCGCAGCGTTACCCAAAGCCCCTCGAGATGGGCGCGAGCGCTGGTCAACGCCCATCTGCAGTCCAGTGCCCTGTCCATGACGCCCGCGTGGCTCGGCCGCTGACAAGAGAGGAGAGACCCCCTGGTAGTTTCGGGGTGTTTTGGCCGTCGGGTCCCCGCGTCGGAGTGTGATTCGGCGATTGAATATGTTTTGCCCGTGGCCCCAGTGTCGCACGCGGCGTTGCTTTTCGCATTCGAATGCATGCCAACACTGGCATCGGAGAAACCATCTTTTGGGCATCGCATTTTCTTTCGAAGTTGAATACCTTTAGAGAGGAGGGCAGAGACCGAACGATTGCCTTCCGTAGACTTCGGCTCACGAGCCCCAGCCCTCCCACCCTGTCTCTCGCCGCAATGCTTTGTTGTGGCCGTGGGGTCCTCGCGTCAGAGTGTAATTCGGCAGTTGGATACTCTCTGCCCGTAGCCCCAGTGTCGCACACGGTGTTGCCTCTCGCACTTGCATACATTATGTCACTGCGCTCGGAGAAACCATCGTTCTGGCATAATTATGACGATGCTGCGAATGGCTATGATGATGGTTGTGATGTTAAGGGTGACGGTATGGTGATGATGATGATGAATATTATTAGGATGTTGATGACGATGGTGATGGTGGTGCTGGTGATGGTGATGGTACTGTATGTGGTGATGGTGTTGGTGCGTGTGGTGATGGTGCTGATGATGATGGTGATGATGACAGGTGATGATGGTGATGGTGATGAAGATGGTGCTTGTGTTGGTGGTGACGGTGATGATGATGGTGGTGGTGGTGCATGTGGTGATGGTAGAAGTGAATGTGGTGATGATGATGAGGAGGAGGACGATGATGAGGATGAGGATCGGTATGGCGATGAGGACAAGGATGGGGACGCTGATGATGATGGGGATCATCATGATGATGGTGGTGGTGATGGTTATGGTGATCGTGGTGTTGACGGTGGTAGTTCTGGCCATGGCGATGGTGCTGATGATGACGATGATGATGATAATGTTGATGATGGTGATGATGATGTTAAATTATTGTTGTGGTGGTTATGGTGGCCGTGTTGGTGATAGTGACGGTGGTGGTGATGGTGATGGTGATGGCCATGGTGATGACGACGACGATGGTTTTGATACTGCTACGTGTACCGACGCTGATACGGATGTTGATGAGGATGGTGCTGATGATGTTGCTGATGTGGAGGAGGCGGAGGCGGGGAAAGAGGAGGCGGGCGTCCTGCAAGGCTGTGCGTTTGTGGACCGCCTGCCCTCATCCCTGGGGCTACTCCATATGTGCGTGTGTCCTTGCAGCCACCCACTCGCTACGCCACGTGGGGTTCGGCTAGGTTGCAGCCCAGTCTACGGTCTACGATCAAGAACGGTTGGATAGCGTGTCGCTCCGCCAGTTCAGACCAACCACATTTTGGCACGACAGATTATCCACCTACCACTCCCAAAGAGTCAACGTTCCGAGCCTTTCCGAGCCTTGGTCCCCGCGGAGCGGAGCGACACGCTATCCACTCACAGGGCATAGCGTGTCGCCAGGGCTGCCGCCTGCGACGCGCTGAGCAACCATTTCCCGACGGGAGCTCGCGCCGTGGTCACGTCACCCAGCCGCTGGAGGAAGCGGTGTGTGGCCCTCTGTGGCCGCGGGGTCTGCCCCTCTTCCCACGGTGCTGCCCAGGCCAGGGGGGGGCCCGCTGGGAGAGCGCCCACGTGGGCTGTGTATGCGCCAGCTGGACCCTTTGCCCAAGCGGCCACGGGTGCCTGGCGTTCGGGGTGCGAGGTCTGCAGGCCCCGCTGGGAGGCCTACAGAGCTTGCCGGGAGAGGCTTGCAGAGCCTGTCGGGAGAGGCATCTGTTGGCCTTCCTCGTTCGTCTCCCATCATCAGCAGCAGCATCAGCATGGCAACCGTCATCTTAATCATGATCCCCTCATCCCTCCTCTTACACCTCCTCCACCACCACCACCTCCTCCTCCTCCTCCTCCTCCTCCTCCTCCTCCTCCTCCTCATCCTCCTCCTCCTCCTCCTCCTCCTCCTCTCTCCTCGTCCTCCCTCCTCCTCCCTCCTCATATTTCTCCAGTGCGTGTTCGCCATACTCGTCACCATCATCATCATCATCATCATCATCATCATCATCATCATCATCATCATCATCATCATCATCATCATCATCATCATCATCAGCATCAGCATCATCATCATCATCATCAGCATCAGCATCAGCATCATCATCAGCATCATCATCATCACCATCACCATCACCATCATCATCAAAACAATACTCATGCTTACCATCGTCGCCATATCATCGTCATGATGCTATCCGCTCTCATCATCATAGCCACCTTTACCACTATCAAATGATCATCAACATGGTTCGCATCGTCGTCGTTATTGACATTGCCCTCGTTGGAACCACCATCGCCATCATTACCATCACCCGTATGCCAAATCGATCACTACACCAGCCTCTGCGGCCATGACACCAGCTAGTTAAAAAGACGGGGCAACATTTTGACACCTTTGAACCCAAGGTTCATTCCTCAGTGCATACATGTGTTCTCCGTTCCACAGCAACGAGCACTACATGTTATTTCCTTTCACACCTCCGGCCAGCGAAAGGTCCACGTGGCTGGTGAATACCGCGTGGCTGGTGTAGACACGACTTGGCCGGTGGAAGGTCCAATCGGCCGGTGTAGACCCCAGGAAGCTCGGCCACGCGCAGAGGTGGTTAGCCGGGAAGGCTTCTTGTAAGGAGGCTGCTTCTTAGACGGCGCGGGCCTCCAGACTTTGAGTTTGGACCATCAGCCCCAGACTGGGCCAGTGCGGAGCCCAGACTGGGCCGGACCTGCGTTCAAACCATATTTCAAATGGTTTTTGAGCTGAATGTCCTCACGACTCGAATCTCCGACGTCGTTAGTCCGTTTGTCGTTCACAACGTGGGCCCATCCGTGCAGAATGCTTGGAACCTTTTTTTTCGTCTCGGGTGGTTTCAGTCAGTCTCCCATGGCTCGCAAGCGGCCTCAGGACTTTAACATTTATGGAAATCGCCCGTCACGTTTCTTTGCGCCGCCAGGGGTCAGGAGACCACGACGATGACAGCGACGATGACATCAACGACGACGACGACGACGACGACGACGACGACGACGACGACGACGACGACGGCGGCGGCGGCGGCGACGGCGGCGGCGGCGACAACGGCGGCGGCTGCGGCGGCTGCGGCGGCGGCGACTACGACTACGAAAACGACTGCGACTACGACTGCGACTGCGACTCCCATGACTGCGGCGACGACGACGACGACATCCCGACGACGGAGACGACGGCAACGGCGACGACGACGCCCTGTCAGGACGCCGCCGCGGCGGCCAGCGCAGTGACCGCCGAGGTAGCGAGGGCTGCCCAGGAGCAGCGGAGGGCCCTCGCGGCCGAGCTGCACGAGGCCGCTCTCCCGCCGGCCGGCCCGCGGGCCCAGGAGGTCTCGTGCGAGGACGCGACGTCCTGGACGGAGAACTCCTCCTGATCCTCCTCCCTCCTCCTCCTTCTCCTCCTGCTCCTCCTCCTCCTCCTCCTCCTCCTCCTCCTTCTCCTCCTCCTCCTCCTCCTCCCTCCTCCCTCTCCTCCTCCTCCTCCTCCTCCTCCTCCTCCTCCTCCTCCTTCTCCACCTTTTCCTCCTCCTCCTCCTCCTCCTCCTCCTCCTCCTCCTGCACCTCCTTCTGCACCTCCTCCTGCTCCTCCGTCCCCGCTTCCTCCGGAGCGCAGTGCCTAGGCGAATTGCGAGAAAGTCCAAGGCGAGACGTCGGGAGCGCAATGCCCTGGTAAAATGCGAGGAGGTCCTGGGCGAGAGCGCGAGTCCAGGAAGTCTGTCGCGAGAGCGCGCTGTCGAGCAAATTGCGGGGGTGTCTGATGAGGGAACAGTTGTTGTGGTAGGGGCCGGGTGGAGCGGAGAATCACTGAGAGGAGAAGGGAGGGGCAAAGGAAGGGAGGGAGAGAGAAACGAGGAAAGGGAGGGTGAGCAGGATGATGCGGCGGAGGAGGAGGTGGAGGAGGAGGAGGAGGAGGTGGAGGAGGAGGAGGAGGAGGAAGAGGAGGAGGAGGAGGGCGGGTAGAGGGTTGAGGAAGGAGGAAGGAGGAGGAGCAGGAGGAGGAGGAGGAGGAGGTCCGAGGCCATGTTGGCCCAAGGCTCGAGACCCGTGCCGCGGGAGTTCGAACCGAGGTTCCCGCCGCTGTGCGACCACAATCAGAGGACGCCCGACGCTTCCGTCTGTGTGTAGGACCCGACCGCCATTGTTGGCGTTCTTTTTTTTCGCAATTGTCTCCTCGCCATGTCACATGATGCGGCACCCCTTGCTCAACCGGATGCAGCTGCGACCTTCCCGTCCCAGGAGGCCGCCAGGATCGCAGCCAACGATGAGGCGAATAAGCGGCAGCGCGTCGCAGCTAAAAACAGTGTTGAAGATGCTGCAAGCCTTCGTGAGTACGTGGGCATGTCCAAGAAGTCCATGCCCGCGGCCCTCGCAAACGCGCAGGCCTCTTCAGCGATGCTGTCGACAACCTCCGCGAAGAGGTGGGGCGACCTCGAGACCCGCGTCGAGCACGGCATCAGCCTCATCGAAAACAAGCATTCCGCGCATGAAGCACGCATCGATGTGCTCGAAGGGCAGATCCGCTCGCTGCAGGGCGCGCTGGGCGACATCAAGAGTGCCGAGCCACGTCTTCCTGCTGCTACTCCTGGCAGCACAAGGGCCACCGATCCGACCATCTTGCTCATCCGCACCTAGCTCTCCTGCGCCAAGGCTGGTGCCATCGCTGTCCTCAGCGCCTGGCTGGCCCGAGCGCAACTCGCCGATGCTGATTTCACTGTGGAGGGCAAGCCTGTCGCCGCCAGATCTGCGCTGCGCATCAATGGCTGGATCCCGCACGCTTCGAGGAAGGTCCAACAGGCATTGGGTGCGTTACGCAAACATGACAACTCCGGGGAACGTTCCCAGTGCCAGGCGGCCGACAACAGCATGCAAGAGATTGTTATACCACCCGAAAAAAAACATGGCCCATGCCAAACGCGAATTGGCTCTCAAACGAGTTCGACGCGAGCTCAGACGTCATCATCCGAACCTCCGCTCTATCACTGTCAGAGACAAAGGGGGAGAGATCGTGCCAGGGAGAACCCGTGGTGCACGTTTAGCCGCAGGCGTGAGAGGCCCCGCAACAGCTCACCTTCTGCCTCGACAACCTCCGCGCCGTGGGCACTGACAAGCAGGCCAGCCTCAACGGCGTCGTGGCCGGCTGCGCGCAGGAGGCCGACCTTGCGCGGAGCGTTGAGCCCCCTCCTCTTTGGACCATGGGGACACACGCCGCGGGAGCACGGGCCCCCGTCAAGCTGGCGACTTGGAACGCCAAGTGCCTTTCCTGGGCTGCCCACAGGCACTGCACAAGTGCCTTCCCCAGGCGCTCGCAGGCACCTCCAAAGTGCCTTTCCTGGGCTCCCCGCTGGCACCTCCCAAATGCTTTTTCCTGGGTTCCTGCGGCAAGGCCGCGGCCACGGCAACGGCGGCCACAGCCACGGCCAATGCCACGGCCACGGCCACGGCCAAGGCCACAAGCGTCGGCCCACGATGAGACCCACGTCCGCTCCCAGGATCTCAGCGCGCTAGACTCCCGCCGGCGACCTGGCTCGACCATCGCGGCCCAGGGGTCGCGCGGGGCCGCCCCTGGGCCGAAGAATGCTGCCTGCTGCGCCAACTCCGCCATCTCCCGCGCCTCCTCGTTCTGCCTGGACCCCCGCGGCGGCGGCGGCGCCGCCCTCTTCCCGAACATATCCAAAGTAACAGTTGGACCAACGCAGGGCCTCCGAAACGTTCTCGTTCGCGGAAGGGCCCTGGGGCTTTTTCATTCAGTTTTCAGAGGAGATTTGGATTTCTCGCTTCAACGTTCATCTTCACGGGCATTCACATGGGAAACAACGAGATGTGGTCGATGCGATTCGTTGTCGCGTCGCCGCTGCCTCCCCCTCCCCCGCCTCGCGCTTGGCGGCCTCGGCTGGCGATTTGAACCTGGCGGACCAGGCCCCCCGGCACGGTGGGCGCAGACCCTTCGGTTGACCTTCTGAACATCATCCGCGGCTGGAGAGCCTCCGTAGGGGTCCGACCCCGAGCCCAGCCCTCGCCTCCATGACCAAAATCGAGACCCCTGGCCCAACCCGGCGCAGCGACGCCCAGGGGGCCCTGAACAACGTCGACGGAATATGCCTGAGCTTCCCGGGGTGGGTCTGCAACCGGCCGTTCGTTGACGGCTGGGCCGCCAAGTGCCCCGGGGCCCTCCGTTCGCACGGCCCCCCAGACCACGCCCTGCCCGCGGTCGGCACCGCCGGCGGTCCCCCGATCCCGCCCGGCGAGAAACCAATCCCGAAACGCCGACGTTTGGGAGGAATTCGGGCCCGGGGCGACGCCGCGGACATGCCCCCCCTTGCCACCCGGCGCCAGACGACGATCGCGAGGGGGGCGGCTAGGGTTGCCGGGGAGGCCACGAGCGCGAAGCGCCCCGAATCGCTGGACGCCGCGCCCTCGATTGTCAAGTGCAGAGGGGCTTGGAGGCAGGATGCAGTTCTAGCGCAGCGACTCATAGCGACGCGCATATTGGCTCGGCACTACTTGGACATCGCCCTGGCGGGCGCGGCCCTCTCGCGCGTCGTTGAATTCTCGCGGGGATCGCCGGCGCCCCGCGGGCGTGCAGCCGAGCGCGAACAGGGCGAGATCAGGGCCAGCCTGTCCCGGGAGCCTCGGCCAGTCTGGCGCAGAAGCTCGAGCCACGGTTGCGCGCTGTAGCACGGCGCGGTAGACTGGGGCTCAGGGAGGGCCACCCCCCGCGGCGCGCGCTCGACAGGCGGGGTCTGCGCAGAGCCCGGCAAGACGGCGCCGATCATCTCCCGGCAATGGCCCCCCGCGACCCAGGCAGAGCAGATTAGTTCCGCGGGCGCCCAGAGATATTTCGAGAAGCGCGGCGCGACCCCCAACCTCGTGAATTTGCCTCCGCCGACCAAAGCCGCGATGGGTACGTGCAGCCAGGGGCTCGATCATTCTGCTCCTGGCCCAGACTGGCCACTTTTGGCCGCGCGGCAAGGGCGCCCAGAAGGGCGCGTCATGCTCGGCAAGATGCTTTGGTGGATCCTCAATGGGGGCCCCCCAATGTCCCCCTTCCGGGACCTCCGCAAGGCGTTCGCCCCTCAGGGCTTGGAAGCCTTCGGCGACGCAGTGATCCACGGGGCCCTTCCCAGCCTCGCCCTCTGGTTTAGTATATAATTGTATACACATATTTATACATCTCTCTATATATATATAGATATACAAATGGATGGCGCGGCGCGCCGCGAGCTAAGTGCAGCCCCGGATCCAAGCCCGGCGCCGCGCGGCCTCGCGGGGGGGGCGCGTCCTCGAGGCGAACGCGTTGGAATTAGCGGCGCATTCCGGGAGCCGCAGCACGCGAGCAGCA